ATCTGACTGTACGGTATGGTTTGTGGAACCGTTTGGAGAAGGGCAGATACACAGCAGGTGATTGGATGAGCCATCTATCACCAACTATCGCAAGCAAAATTCAACCAATCAGATCAACGAACCATAGAACGTATCCAAACAATTAAGAAATAATCTCTAGTTCTGATATAACTGACACCAGCAGCATCCACGCTAACCTCTAACAGTGTCTTCTTGCTGCATCTAACCTAGCGCCCACAGCTGTAGCTGCCAGTACTTCCTCGAAGGACTGATTAGTCTGGTCCAACTATAGCAAGGCTACAAACGCAGAGACTGAATCCCTCAAGATCGATTCTCCCATAATGTTGTGATCTTCCAAATTCAGCTGCCTCTCGAGTCTGAGTTTATCCTCTAAAACGTTTGTGGCTTTAGGTGACAGAATGAGTTTAGTCCCTCGAAAACAACTTTGTGAGTGTTCAAAGTCTTCAAAGCAACAGCCCATCCTCGCCAAACTCTTCATCAGTGGCTCCAGCCAAAGGTCAAGGCCATGGAAAGGTCGTGCGAAGTTAAAAGGTCACGGTAAGGTCATAACACTGCATCAGGTCAACGCATTTATCCAGATAACAACTGAAAAAGTGACCCCCTTCCTGCATACATACATACACTCAAACACACATACTGAACCTCATACGTCCACATTCCCACATGATTTTAAGTTAAAACATTACACACTTATTTACACACACACACACACCTTGCCTTCATCCCCAGTGATTCTTGTAACCAGTAACATCAACAGACAACATAATGGATGTGTGGATGGATATGATTGATAAATGACCCACTATGTCGCATCTCACAGACACATGATCATATAAGGAAAGAGATCCATCGCCGTGCCCAGTCCTTTTGTTGCTAGGCAACATTTGCTACCAGATCTATCAGGAACTTGACTTTAAAAGGTAAGAACTCTTTCATTACAGCTCGTCAGCAACCCTCAGAAACCTTGACTCTCATTTTTTCTGCCTTTTTTTTTTATTAGAATAAGGAATTAACTGATGACAATCGACATTTTCAGTGGTGGAGGAAGTACTCAGATTCTTATTATTCTACTTAAGCAAAAGTACTAATATTATGCAATAAAAATAAAAATACTCCATTAGAACTTAAAGTTTGTGTGGAAAGCATGTAATGAATGAATACTGTATATATAGTATTTCTTATTTTGTGTTAATACATTTTAAGCTGAATTCAACTGTTGAGGCTGCAACTAATGATTGTTTTCATTATGGATTATTATGATGGTTAATTTCTTGATTAATCTGATTATTGTTCTGATAATGTTGATCTGACACCATCAGATGTCTCGTTTTGTCCGACCAACAGCCCAATCCTCAAAATTATTCAGTTTACTGTCAGTTAAGATGCGTAAAAGCAGCAAATCGTCATATTTGAGATGCATGTAAATTCTTAATTTGAAGTACATGTAATGAAGTAAAAAAACAAACAATTTCTCTCTGAAATGTAGTGGAGTAGAAGTAAAAGGTGTCATGAAATGGGACTACTCAAGTAAAGCACTGATGCTTTAAGTACAATCCACCACTGTAGATTTTAAAATGCCAAAATGTTTCAGTATCAATGTGGAAAATATATTTTTTAAATCTAAACTTTAGCTCTTTAGGAAAAACAAGGTTTTGCAGGGTGCTGACACATCATGTCTATGTTGAGATTGTTTCTTTTCATTGAAGTATTTTTTTTTTTTTAAACTGCTACTGTTTCCCTACTTCACAATTGACTCACACAGACAGACATCAACAGACAGTGATATTTACAGTATATACACAACATATTTTATCCTCCGTTAACTGCAGGCAGGAGGAGAGGCAGGGAGCTCTGGGTTAGGACTGGTACGTGCCCTTTACCTCAGTCATACTGCAGGTAGAAACCTCGAAAGGTTGCTGAAAACGTTTTGTAAATGTGAGGTTTGGAGGTCACTCACTTAATTTGAGTTACAGTACGAAGTCTGGGGAATCTGTGATGGATGGGAGTAATGGGGTGATAGGAAGTGTCCTTCAATGGAGGACACTGAGTGTATGTAGATAAGGCTCATTGGTTTGAGGGTTTTTTGGGTTGTTTTTTCTGTTTTGTAACTTTATTTGTTCAGAATTCTTTTTTTTTTAAAGTATAGTATAAGTATAGTTCAATGTGTTGGGCAGTACTTGGCGGATTTGAGCCAGGAGGTGATTAACCTAGCTTAGCATAAAGACTGTAAACACTGGGGAAAGCTAGCTCAAAGTTAAAAAAATACACCTTTTGAAGCTGAATTTGTGTATTAATTAAACAAAATAATATTTTAATTTGTGAGCTTTAAGGGTGCTACTAGCCAGATTTTTTAACTTTGGATATAGCTAGCCTAAGAGGCAAGTCTCCTTTAGTCTTTAGGCTAAGCTGGGCTAATAGCCACCTGGCTCCAGCTCCATGCTGTATGTACAAGCATCCTTTAAACCATCTGTTCCTTTTCAAAAACTAAGGTATATATTGTAACAATAATCTGTAAACCCAAAAAACAATGAGCCTTATCTGTCTATACAGCTGATGACATGGGGGGGCGTAAACAGGCACAGTACTCAAATATCTCCTTGGGTTGGTGGGTGCAGAGTAGAGGAAAGGAGAAACGTCCTTCGGGTCAGCGGAAGGAGAACTGGAGGGTAAAGGCAGGAGAAATGGGACGTTTCCCAGAATAAGTGGAAGACATCCTGGTCGCCAAGTGGCAGGGACTACAGAGCAAATAATCCCTAAACCAGACGGAGCGTTTGTTAACGAATCAGTTGTTTATATCCTTATGAAAGTGATCTGAGGCCTTTTTCAGAGCCTCTGAGTTGAGTGTCAGTCAGACCGGAGGTAAGGGCCAGTCCCATGAGACATCGGGTGATGAAACAGTATGTGTCCAATAGCACCTTCATTGTGTCCCATTGTTGATATGGTGTGTGTCCTTCAAGCAGCAGTGAGGTGACTTCATTAATGTCTAGCCAAAACTAAATGGACATCTCTTATAGAGCAAAATGGACATCTAATAGATGTTTAATGGAGCTCATCAAAGAGAATGTAAATACTTTCCAGTACAGCAGCAGAGACGGGACTTGTGAAAGTCTCTAGTAGTTTAAATTGTGGTCTAGACCAGATGCCTATCTAGAGACAGTTTCCAAGAGATAAATTGGAAATAATAAGAGAGAACTTGATTTGTTTCCAGTGGAGCAAATGCCATGTGTCCTAGACTACAGGCGACAAATACAGTTTAGTTTCCAGTAAATTACACTTTTAAAGACCAACGGGAGGGAAACTCATTTGGTGTTGAATAGACAAGGCAAGCAAACTTGTTTGGTTTACAGTAAATAAATGGGGACGTGTTCTAGACCAGATATTTGGAAACTTGTTTGTTTTCCAGTGGATGTGTTCTAGACTAAGGAAACAAGGAAACTCATTTGGTTCTAAGTGGAATAATAGGTTGAGTTCCAGAACAGATTTTGAGGAATTGTTTTGGTTTCAAGTAACATGAAACAGAACATGTTCTAGACTAGAGATGAGGGAACTCGTTTGGTTTCCAGTTGGTAAAAGGGGATATATTCTAGGCCAGAATTGAGGGAACTTGCTCAGTTTTCAGTAGTCTCAGCAAAGTATACACTTCAGTTTTCCAGAAACAACAATAAAGGGACTTGTTTTTATCAGGTTTAATCTACTGAAAACCATTCTACACCAGAGGTGAGGGAACTTGATGGATTCCAGTAGATGACACAGGGCTGATTCTAGACCAGGTTTGAGGGAACTCATTTGGTTTCCATTTGATAGAAGGGGATGTACTCTAGACTAGAATCGAGCGACTTTGTTCCGTGTCCAGTAGAAGCAATGGGACATTTCTGGACCAGCAGTTTCCAGTTGATTAAACTGGGTATATTCTAGACCGGAGGGGGTCACGGTTTTTGTTTGGCTTCCAATAGATTATACAGGATTTACTCTCGACTAGATTTCAGGGAACTTGCTCAGTTTTCAGTAGATTAATCACAATATTCTGTTCAGTTTCCAGAAGTTGAAATGGAACATGTCCAGAAACAGTGATTTGGTTTCCAATAAATAAATAAGGATTCGTTCTAGTTCAGATTTAAGAGGGTCATTTGTTTTCCAGTGTGTGAAACAGATCCTATGCTAGACCAGATGGTGGAGGATGCATTTGGCTTCCAAAAGATCAAACAGGAAGTTCTGATTCTACACTGGAGGTCTTCATTGGAAAAAACAGAACACATCTGGACCAGATTTGAGAGAACTCGTCTGGTTTCCAGGATGAGTCTGCACCAGAGGTGAGGAAACGTAGATCAAACAAGCAGTGTTGTGTTCGGTTTCCAGTTGATGAAAGGGGTTTTAGACCAGAGGTGAAGGAACTTGTTTGGTTTCCAGTATTGGGGATTCGTTCTCTGGTTCCAGTGCGTCTCCACTGGTCTGCTCTTCAGTGCTGCTCACAGTGTTGGAGTCTACGGGGGCCTCATCCTAAACAACCACATTATTAACAAGAATTAGTATGAAAGTTATCAAAATCACAAAGTTGAAACTTAATTGTTTTTTTGAGTTTTAAAGAGAGACAATGAGTCTTGTGTTTTAAAGAGTTAATGACAAAAGTGAAGCTGTCTTGTTGAGGCAGGTTTTGAAATGAGGAACACAAATACAGTCACTTCTGCTTTAAGCGACCAACTGACTTACATAAGCAAGAGTGAAAAAACTCAGTTCCTCCTTTGTAGTGTAGTATTTGTGTGTCTAACTCTTACCGTCACCCAGGGGTGCGACAGGACCTCCTCTGCAGTGAAGCGAGTGTCCACGTTCACCTGCAGCATCTGACTAATCAGCATCTGAGGAGCAGGTCATGTGACTGTTTAGCAGTAAACTGACAATGTATCACAGACAAAGTTCAAAATGTTGTTTGTGTGTTAAAGAACCAGTGTGGGGGATTTAGTGGCAACTAGCGAAGTAGTTGCAGGCTACAACTCCCTCGCCTCACTCTCCCATTCTGGTAGCCAATACTTTAGAAACATGGCGGCCTCCGTAGAAGTAAATAAAAACTTATACACTAAGAAAACATAGATATGAATATTATATTCCATTGCATTTCTGCCAATAGCATCCTCTTTTATGATGTTACACACCTGACCCCATTTAACACAAACAGCGCTATACAGGATTTGTTTATTTAACACAATTCTGGAGCTAAAAGTAAAGGACAATCAAGATTCAAACCCAACCTTTTATGTATTAAAAGCAGAGGTTTGTAGTTTGCAGGCGTGCTTTGTTGAATATAGAACTTTGGCGGTATTCTTTACTTTTAGTA